GTTCCAGCGATGATAGTAGTCGTAATATGCGTAATACTATTGATAATAATAAGAATGATAAGGATAATGAGGATAAAAGTAGTAATATGCGTAGTATATATATTTATAAAAGTATATATATATATATATATATATATATATATATATATATATATATATATATATATATATATATATATATATATATATATATATATATATATATATATATATATATATATATATATATATATATATATATATATATATATATATATATATATATATATATATATATATATATATATATATATATATATATATATATATATATATATATATATATATATATATATATATATATATATATATATATATATATATATATATATATATATATATATATATATATATATATATATATATATATATATATATATATATATATATATATATATATATATATATATATATATATATATATATATATATATATATATATATATATATATATATATATATATATATATATATATATATATATATATATTTGTATAATATAATATAATATAATATAATGGGAATAACATGATGGAATATGGGAGATTATTATATTTAAAATAACACAAAAGCACAATAACGTTAAAAACACTAAATTAATTTATTATTTAAGAAAAACGACTTGGAAGGACCTCTTTGTATGACTATATTTTATACGTGTGAAAATTATAATATCAGAGAAACATTAAGAAAGAAATACAAGGATTTTATTTTAATAACATGCATAGATCTGATAAAAATCGAGCGGTATATTTTCCTTTGCTCTTGCAACAAATATTGGTATTCATATAACAAATCGGCTACAAACGTAAAAAATAATAATAATTATAAATAAATTTAATATTACTTTTATTATATATAATCTGTTGTATTATTTAACCCTTTTATTCTCTTTCCTGCAATTTTCTTCAGATTTATTTTTTTTTCCTCACTAGGGCCTAATGATACCTTATATTTCATCAAAGTGTATACGCTACTGAGGACTTCTACGGATAGCTTACTGCGCATGCGCTGAGACTGCCCATCACTGTTTACTTTGTATTTTATAATTAAAGACCTTTAATGAAAATGTCTGTTTTATTCTACCACCCGAGTGAAACAATTTTCACGCTTTTTATAAGCATAAAATATAAAGTCGATGAATAAAGCTGATCTTTCGAAAGTTTTCGAGAATAGTGATAATCGATTGGAAATTCGTGGACGTTTTTCGTTTCGTAACGTAGATTTCGTCGCATCTTGCTAAATCCTGTTTCCGTATGCGCGGCGACGAAAGTTTCGAAAGTTCAAAATGGCGGTTGGGCGCGCGATCGCGATGCACGTGCAACGCCATCTGGAGTTGTCGCTTCCGGTATTGAGCAGCAGTAGTATGGCAGTTGCGCGCAAAAGTCTGTTTATTTACGTGCTGTCGATGATTAATTGATCGTAAACCCGCGTCCACTCGTGATAGATCCGACGAGTGAGTGCCGTAATAACGGGAGCGTGATGGTGCACGAGTGAGACACCGCGAAACAATTCCTGCAGGATCTAACGAGAAACGCTCGGTGAATGTCGTCGCCGTCGAAGAATTCCGCCTGTCGTCATCGTCGTTCTAACCTATTTCCCGATACACTGTGCACTTCATTCTGGAATTTTCCGACGCGCTGTCAATGGTTGTTTGCCAACAGTGGTGCGACATAATGCCATGTTCCCGCAAACATTGAACACAGAACCGTGTAAAATCACGAGCATGGCTGACGAAGTGTTGCCGGCGAGTTTGGAGAAGCTCGAAATTGATCGGCTCTCCTCGAGTTGTCCTCAGTAAGCATTTACCGCCGAAAGCTCATTTTAAAGCGCCTGCTCCCGCACAACCCGTACCCTTCCCATTCGCCCTCGAACATTCCGTGTCCCGGCTTAGTCGTTCAATGTATCGAATCGCGACCGTTTTGCGACTCAACCCCTTTTCACGTGCGGTCAAGGTCTCAGATTAACGTTACCTCATTTTGCAACCGTACGTGACGATCGCTGTTTACGTTGCACGTGTTTTCGATTTATTAATGATGCAAGCACTCGTTAACGCGCGTTTCAACGACCGTCATTTCTTATTCGCGACGGTGCGAAACAACAACATCGTTGACTGTCATGTGTAAGGAAACCGTAATGTTTACCTACAAGAAATGTTGATATCGTGCCGCGATTGATGAGGATGTTGTTTGCGAATTGTTCGGTAATGGCGCATCGGTGTAATCGGAGAATTACAAGTGTAGTGTAAAAATTTATATCGTTTCAGTGCTGGACAAAAATATTCGCATGGACATTTCGCTATAAAACCGCGTGTAAATCTGGATATACCTTTTTCTGATATATACGCTGAAAATTGCCAATCTTTTATATTTTTAAAATATCAAATTACCAAATTTTTAAATAGTAGTCCGCGTTATTTTCTAAACGGAAAAGAAATCAATATTTACTAATATTGATTCAAGGTTGTGTACTGAGAGTGATGAATCATCATGGAATGACTTTTGATAATACATTGTCAAAGTTTCAGTAATATCGCTAAATGTTTTTGTGATCCACATTCCATTCACATTATGTATAATTGTTTCTACTGTTATATTAATTGTCAATATTGTTTTGTGCTGTTTCAGTATTACTCCAACTGACAAAACAAAATCTCCAAACCCATTTAGAACGGCAAGCAAAAGCGTCGGTTCTGATTGCAGTTATTTATTTCAAAAAAGATCAATGCCTATTAGGCCACCGTTATCTACCATCAGCCCTAGAGGCGTGAAAAGCACAACGAATTTCAAACCATCAAAGAATGAAAGAGCATTGGATAAGCATAAGAAAAACTCGATAATCAAAGAGGCTGTTCTAAAATTAAATGATACTGGTACTAATTGTCTTAGTGATAACCTAGCAGATACATTGCTTAAAGAAACATGTAAATTTAATATTTGTGGTAAGAACTCCAAGATTTTTGGCCATGGATCGGTTGCTAAGGATTTCAAAGAATTGAATATTAGCCAAGAGTCTAGACAAGCTAAGGACGATACTAGCATCCAGGATAATTACCAGGCTAGTAGTTTCCAACGAGCACGTAGTAATACGATGCCAAGTTTAAAGAGAGGGCCTGGTCCAGGCGGAGGTAGTAATAGTCAGTTGGAAACAACCGGTTCAACTGGTCAACCTTCAAGTTCAAATACATGCTCTGTACAAGCAAGAATATCTCCACCTTCATGCGATGTCACGATCGATGAACTTGCCAGCTACTTCGAGGAGTTTGTTCATATTCCAAAGAAGATGTCGCATATGGCAGAAATGATGTACATTTAACTATAATATGTTGAATTATAATTGAAAGATTTTCTTATACAGTTTTTCAAGGACTAGCATGCAACGTTTATGCATGATCATCAGTCTAAATACTGTATGTTTGCTACAAATCCAATTTAATTTGGTACCTAAATTATACATAATATCTAATAAAAGAAGAAAAAAAGAAAAAAAAATGGAAGGAACACATCTGCGTTTTTGTAGAAGAAAAAAAGTATTAAAAGCGGTAAAATTCGGACATCGCTTTAGTAACAAGGACTAAAAAAGGGTAAAAAGGAAATATGATGATAACGAACGGAAAAAATAAAAAAACATTGCGTGACATTTGTTTTTAAAAAATTGTTTGTGTTCGATATCGTTTAGTTTTGAATGAAAAAGAAATACGTTTCTTTATAAAATTTTTGTATTGCGAGATGAAAATATTGGTACTAGAATAAATTTCTTGGACTTAATATACTGTTGTGTTATTGAAATTACCAAATTCTACTATGCATTACGTGAAGTGAATCATGCAAATATCGTTTGACACTGTTCTGTTAATATGATACATAATATATTTATCTGCATAGGCTTATGATACTTAATACAATGATACAAAGTAACCGTTAAATTACTTAATGATAATAAGCTTTGGTACGTAAACAATGACGATATATTGATCCATTTCTTTTGTCTCTTTTTGTTTAACTTTAGGTACGAGTGAACCATGTTGACGCGCGGTGTACTGTGAAAAACCTCGACGAAAGCCTAAATGCGTTAAAAAATATCCATCTATTTGGTGTGCGCATCACGTGACGACTCTGATTTCATTTTCAGCACTTAAATTTTTCTGGATACGATGATTTTTCGTAGTAGCCCCGCGCAATACTCAAACTCTGTATCAAAACATGAGGTCTGTCGCTATATCACAGATTTATTAAAATTTTATTTGAACGGAGCCACAACGAAACGAATTTCAAGATGAAGAAACGAAGCTTTCCTTTTTGTTTTCTTTTTACAATTGGACATGTGTCGTTATCAATCGTACAGAAACAAATCGTCTATGTCATACTCGAAACTTGTGTCCAAGCCGAGAGACGCGGTATTAAAAACACGAGAAATCAATTTTCTAGAAAATCGACCATCGAGTACTATAATGCGGTGTTACATTGTAAATATGAGAAATGGAAAATATCAACGACAACAAATGCAAGACGTGCTGAAAGTGTTACGCGACTTCATGAATGATGAAATCAATTAAAGTTGCAAAAACAGTTGGTTGGCAAGAGTAGTAAAAATAGAGTCCAAGTTACAAAGTACTATTCGATCGATAACTATGACGGCACACGTTTAATTTAATTTTAACGTACTGCTATATAATTGTTAAATAGCACGATCGTGAAATATTAACGGAAAAAGTCAATAGCTTTATATTGTCGGGTAAATCAGCCAGCACACATTAAGTAATGCTTTGCTTTGGACAACAGGACGTACGACGAACGATAGTATTATTGCATTCGTTATCAGTTTCTTTCAAAATTGGAACACTTATGAACACCTTGTACACGCGATTAATCAATTCGAAACACGCAGCGTCTCCCGACCAGAATTCGATTTCGAACGCATTGCGAAATGCGCCAAATTTTACTCTTATTTTGTAGAAAAAGTTTTTCGGAATTTCTGGAATAATACAATAAACTCTCGTTATATTACCACTTTTATACGGACTTTCACGCACATCATTGGACAAGGCAAGGACCGTTGCTCTATTATATCGCCATCTTATAACACGCGTTATACCGTTATGTGTTGTATAACCATGCGTTGAATTCTCTACACGTCTTCTCTACGCATTGGAATTCGCTATACGTCTTTATTCTCCACACGTTGAATATATGCGTTATACTCTCCACGCGTTGTATTGCCACGCTCTATATTGCCGACTGAGCAAGTTTCCCGCCATCGTAGGACGATTCGAAGGTCGCCGTAACAAAGCTTTTGATCAACTCAATATATTGCCAATTCCAAGAATTGTCCGTTCCATAGCAATATAACGAGATTACTGTAATTGAACCACGTATAAAATTGCTTAGTTCCAAACTAACTGCCGAATCTTGTTCTAATTTGATAAGAAAATTCCTAATTTTTGTTACGTATCAAATAAGGCACGTAACTGGAACCATTTTCGTGACAAAATAATTTAAAAAAATAAGTACTTTTGTAAAAACAAAAAATACAGTGAAAAATTGCTAATTCGAATTTCTTGGGGAGAGATGCAGGATGCAAGCACTAATTTTTGAAATTTATCGAAATTGTTCCAATTACTTACCTCGTTCGATACCCATATAATTAATTTCGTCGAACACAGTTATATTCGAATGTAATCTGTTCTGTTCGTCTAAACAATATCAGTCTCTAAGTCCAGTGGAAAGGCCACATGATGCCCTTTACCAGTATATTAACATTTAAATATACTACTCTCTTTCCTCTTTCTCGGATGAAATGATGTATGCGAACAGTGACATTCAAACATGAAGAAATCAAACCGTACATTGTTTCCATTCATTTGGTACATTTGACAAATCGAATTCATGCATGATCTTTTACGTGTCTTCTACGAAACTATGGCGACAACATGATCGCTAGCGAAACCTTTAAAAAGTGACCATTCTCCGTGAATAAACGCAACAACGTCGTTTTGATCGGTATAAAACGCTCATAGAAAAGTTTACTTGGACGTAATACAGCTACCTTCTAAATCTCTACGTAAACATGATGCCTTTCCTTCCACTCGTCGCATCATCGTTCTATTATTAATAATAAATTAATCAACTCACACAACGAACGTATGGTGTTTGCTTCGCTAATTATAGTAGAAAACATTATATTATCAGTATACTATGTATATGTATAAAGGGGCAATATAATGTCGGTGTCCCGGGACATACGTAAGCCGTAAATTATTCCACTAAAATCGATGACTGTCGGAATGATTGTTAGCTAGCAGTAAGGTATAACCATACGAACTTGATTTAAAGAGTTACACACCAATGTTTTCGAAACTTTTCCAATCACTCTCGTATGCTCACACTATATTGTTCGTTTCGTAATCGTAGTTCCCTGAAAACGATGATTATTGAGCTTATGTCGCTTTCCTTTTTATTGAGTTCGAACCGCTTCGTAATTATACGAAGTTTACCTTGAATATTATTCGAACCCTAAATATTTTTAATTACTAATTAAATATAAATTTATACGTCCTCAATTTTTTGAAGTCATCAAACCACTACCAGGTTGAAAAGCATTTGAAAGAAGTTTTTTATATGAGATTCCATTAGGATTCGAATAAAATTCAAAATTTGTAAGTGTATCCATCACTAGTTACGGGTCATACGAAGAACACGACATTTTATTGCTCGTTTTTGAATGTCACGGCAAGACGCACGTGAAAAAAAAGAGAAAAACGAAATAATACCGCACAGACACAGTTGTGTAACAATTCGCACGCGCACGCAAATCTCTCGTTTCATTCATTCTTCGTAGTTACATCCTGTCGTTCTCTTTCGCTCTTTATATTCTCTATCTCTCGTTACTTTTCCTTAAACGTTTAATATCTAAAGTGTCATAATGGCTCATCGTGTTTATCGTGACATAGTTCAGTGTACACCTAGGGACTTAACGTCTAACGATACGTTCCGTGGAGGACGACCACGACGACGACAACGAGAAATCCTCGGAATCGAAACCTCATAACCCCGTTTTATTCTTGTGTACACTCGGGTGCAATGGAGGCTTCCTTCGGACAAGGATAATTATAGAAACAAGAGCCCCTTCTCATCCGACTTTCAAATTTCTAAACTCTTAAATCCTCAATTTTTTAAATTAACCAATGAAGTTCTCAAAACCTTGAAAATTAGCAAGAGGCTCTTTCTTCTACATAACTGTTCCTAGGGAAGCCCGACATGCTCGCCAATGTATGTCGTTTACGAAAAGGAAAGATTCGCGTTTCGGTGTTTCACATTCCGAGGACGCTTTACACACCTACCCTCACGTTCTACCGCCTAGAATCTACCCTAACCTGTCGTTTTATATTTTTGTATGTTTAGTAGAAAATTTACAATTTCTCAGACACTTTGTACGAGCAACATCGATGACTTAATCTTTACCTCAATTTTAATAGTATTTCTAAGTTCTTCATTTTTCTCTTATTCGCGCAACTTCGGAAAATGTCGCGGTTCTCAATCGTATAACGTATTTTTTTTTTCGTTACTAGTAACTTGCTTTTTTTTTTATTTTCACTTCGGTGAACTTAAAAAAATGATTATCGTAACGATGAGATTGCTTAATACGTAACTATATTACCGACGCAGCGTCGAACAGGTAGTTTTCTTTACAAAGTGCAATCACAGTAAAAAATAACGAGACGTGTATAGAAAAACATGAATGTGCGCTTTTAAACCCTTTTACTACTACGACCGGGCACCTGTCATGAAAAGGTGATTCGCGTGCTTGGGCGATTGTAGATTGTTGAAAGGTTTAAAATACACTGTTCATAGAACAAAATTATACCTGAAAGGTACTCTTTCTTTTACGTATAAAAACGTATTAATCTCTCGTATAAAATATTGTCCTACTCGACATATCGTTCGAAATCAAACGAAAACTCGTTTAGATCTATTTTATCGTAGAATGTGATGTCCTAATACAATGCAGTCTCGCCATGTCTTTAAAAATTTTCAAGTGTACAAATTGAACAAGTTAGAAATTTATAAACTTCTAAATTGAAAAGTTTCGAAAATCGTCGAATTTAGAAGCGAGACTGTATTGTATGATAAAAATCATTCGACGCTGAAACGATGCATCTAGATTTTCAAGGACCGTGTAAAAAAGAAAACAATTTGGATCATAGGAAAGATCAGTCACGATCGTTTCGAGATCAATACGAGAAGTGATCGCGCAAATTACACAGATGGCGCGATCGTTTCCCTTTCTGCACTGTAATCGTACATTGACGGACTAATATAATTGGTTACATCGTCTACCATTTAAAACTCTACATTTTTTTTAGCTCTCAACTGGTTCCGTTCCTATTCTCTAAACACTTTTTCTTAGATACCTTCGTCAATTATTTTTAATATACTCTCCAAATTATGAAAATTCCTATTAAATAGTTCGAACGATGAACGATCCCATTTTTTAAATTCTATAATAGATACTGGATACGTTAGCGGTCAGAGATATTCTATACTCTTCATTTTTTATTTTCATTTTATCTTCAGTCGTAAACGTTTGACTTGATATTTTAATCGGCAGTTATTCACGATTGGTCACAAAGATTATTAGTCTTGCAAATACTTTTCAAAGTACAAACAATACTCGTTTCTTTTTTGTTCTATAAAGTTCCATGGCACACAAGATCATTGTCCTTGAAATGCTTGCTCGATGACGTTCGATCAAGAAAAAGAAATGAAAAGAACACTTCTTCAATTTTGGCAGTATTTAACGATTGTTTCGAGACGTCCGGTAACGTTTATATAAATTCTCGTCACCAAAGTTTCTTTGTAAAATATCTTCCTTCCTGTACGATCCTCTCTCGTTTCCTTCTTATTTTATTCTTTTTTGGAATCTTCCCGCAGAAATTCTGCGATGCACGAACAAAAACAAACAAAAAGAAGAGAACACGGTAAACAGCTTCTTCAGATGTTTGCCAGAGATCTAGCAATAAATACCATAAAATTCCATGGCACAGTTAATGTGCGCTGGGTGAAAATGACCGTGCGGTACCAGGTACTGACTCTGCATGTGAGCTGTGTATCAGTCTGTTGGCGGTTCGAGATACGGTATTTCGCTAGTGACATTAAATGACTCGAAATAGTGATTAAGGAACTCGAACGTGGGTCGCTTCTCGGGGCTAGCATCCCAGCACTGCAACATTAATCGGTAAATGCTGTCCGGCAGCGGGTGATTCAATGGCTTAGGCATCCGATAGCCTTTGTTTATCTGCTCGATTACTTCGCGACTCTGCATACCTACAAAAATCAAACAAATTTCATTTCAAACATCTAGACAATCGAGACAATAAGGGGAACATAGACATGCACTTTTATAATTTGTAATAGATACTTTTAAATATTTACATTTTATAGCAAGTTACAAATGTTTAGGGACATACTGTGGTATGAAAGAGTATTCTTATAGTACAATAAATAAAAAAATTAATGGTATTGGGATGTGTAGTGAGATTATTTATAACATAACTGTTATAAAGATATTCTGCCATGACTGATACTCTACATTTTCAAATCTTGAAAAACAATATTCAATAATTGAGATTTTTCTTGATGGTACAACAAATAAAGAAATATGAGTTGACATGTCTCTTTGAAATGAGGTGTATGTTACATTCTGCAGTTGCAAGTGAAAAGTTGATAACCCACCAGGATAAGGAACTTGGCCATAAGTGAAGAGCTCCATCAGTAAGATGCCATAGGACCAGACGTCGCTCTTGATGCTGAATCTCCCATAGACAATGGCCTCCGGCGCCGTCCACCTAACCGGGAATCTGCTTCCCTGTTTCGGACAGTACTCGTCGTTCTCGATCGCCCTCGCCAATCCGAAATCACATATCTTCGCTTTATTTTTCTCGCCGATAAGCACGTTCCTCGCCGCGAGATCTCTGTGTATGAGCTGTTTGCTCTCGAGGTGTTCCATGCCGGAGGCGACCTGCGCGGCTATGTAGATGAGGTCCTCGAACTGCATGTACTTGCCATCGCCGGTTCTCAGGAAGTCTAACAGGCTACCGTTGCACATGTACTCCTGTACGATGTAGATCGGCTCCTCTTTCGAGCAGATCGCGTACAACGCGACTAGGTGTCTATGTCGGAACTGTTTCATGATGGCGGCTTCCTGAAGGAACGCCTCGGTCGACATGGTCCCGGGTCGCAGCGTCTTCACCGCTACTTCGATCTTGTTCCTCCATTTGCCGTAATACACCTCGCCGAAATTACCGTGGCCCAATTTCCGTATCAGTTGTATCTCGTTCCTGTTGATCTCCCATTTGTCCCGCAACTCGGGCCCGAGATCCCACATGTCCGGTTGCGGTTTTGGACACGGCTTCGATAACACGTGACAGAGACCCAACGCGTTCTCTGAAACGTTAAATTCGATCAAGTTAGGTCCGCTAGATGAAAATTCGTAAAGTGAAGAGAAAGAGATCATGGACTTACTGCTATAAGCCATAACAAGGGCTGGCAGGGTGGGGAATGTCTGGTTGGTGGCGATAAAGAAGCCCCCATTGTCGAGCGGTTTAATTTTATAGTGTTTTACGTGATGACCCCTTCCCTCCTCCCAGTCCTTCACGGACAAACTGTATCCCCTGGGATTATGCTCGCTGGGTCTCACCAGAAACGTTCCACGTGGATTCTCGTCCACCAACAGCAGTTTACCCGCCTCTTTGCGAGACACGTTCTCGAAGAACCAACTGGAAGAGAAGAATTCATGATTTATGCATGCTTGAATTTACTGGGCAGAAATTTAAATTGTGGTGCTACTTGGATTTAAATATTTAGTGTTCTAGACTAAATCTAAATCACAAACTGTCCCCTAATTTCTGGGTTCTTAAATTCTTAAATTCCCAAATTGTCAGATTACTATATCTTTAGATTCTCATATTCCTAGATTACTCTTTAGGTTCTTTCTTAGTACGCCTCTAAATATCGAGGTCTCTATATACTCGTAAAATATTGGAAAAAAACGATACTCACTCTTCGCTCTCCACCGAACGTTCAACGGCGACGAAGTTCCAAGGTATAAGACCTTCTTGCAGAGTTGTCAAGTGTAAAACTTTCCACCAATCAGGCTCCGAGTCATCCAATACTTCCATTCGATCGCCCTTCACGAAACTGACATCGGTACTCTCCCGGGCGGTGTAATTGTACAGAGCTACCACGATCTTGTTCGATCTCTGCGAATGCGCTGTTTCGGAAACAGAAACAATTTACACGAAATGCCGAATGGAAGCTATTTAAGAAAGAATAGTAATTCGATCGGTACGGGTTCCGATCTGGACCGCAAGACTGATAGAACGTTATCGAGAATGTCTCGATCGATATTCTATTTACTTAACTGGTAATTATACCGATTTTCAATTTCCGATTACATTTCTCCATTCTTAATTTTCTCTTTTATATCAATTCTTAAATATTTGGTAAATTGTGGGGGTAACATGAAATTTTATATAAATATTGTAAACACAAATTAGTTGCATTATTAAATTTTTAATTACACATGGTTTTCCCATATGAATATTCGAAGTATCTTGTAAGATTCTATAAAACTTTTATCTAACATTTTGAAGAACATAGAAATTTCTTACATAAATACTTGCTCCAAATAATTAATCACAAGCTAACATAAATCTTGATGAACCCAAATTTCACACAAATAATCTCGTAAGCAGCGAAGCAACGAAATTAAATACGAAAGAAAACGGAGTATTAGAAACTGCTTCGAAATAGCTAACTTAAAGTACATAACTAGAAATAAAATAAAAATGTAACATAAAATACACACATGCAGGCTTAACGACAGGCGAGCTTGTTTTACGAGGTTGATGCGGAATCTGTAGCTTACAAGGTGTTGGCCTCGGTCGAATAATATCCGCCCTCGCTTGCACACCCCTTTGATTCGGGTCAGCAGTGTACCGGTCCAAGGAACCTCCATTGCTGTGTTTCGAGCTTAGTCCTGTGTCTGCTTTCTTGTAACCTGGATAATGGAACCACCGTTTGTAACCCAAAACCATGATCAATGTTTCTACACAGGACACTTTGGCTTTTACCGAAACGTTTAACCCCTTTCAACCCTGTTGTCCTTTAGGGACATTCGAGATGATACATTTATACTAACAGATTCTTTGATTTACCCTCTAGAACATTTATGAACACGTGAAATTAAAAATGTAATTAATTTGTGAGTTATGAAATTTTAGAAACAAGATGGACGGCTATATAAATTAAAATATAGATGTATGAATATAAATAAGAGTATGAATTAATGAGAACATGAATATAAATTATAATGAATGTAAATTAACAGAACATATTATCGAAATAATTATTGTATTTTAATGACACAAGTATGCATAATTAAATTTAAATATAAAAAATATATTTATAATTTAAAAACACCCTCGTTATTCCTGAATGTATTAGTAATAAAAAAAAGAATTAATAGGTTAATTGCAGAAAGATTTCAGGATTTTGGTGAACTCCTGTTGAACCCTGTTAGAGCGTCATTCGTAAACATCGGTGTAAAATTTAGAAGAGAAACAGCCCTAAAGGGACGTGAACAACGACGGCAAAAGAAAACTCATCATCGGTATCTTTGCAAGTGGAAGAAAAGAACAAGGGTGCGTATTATATGCTCACCAAGGGGTTGCGGCTCTTGCCGTTTGCTGCAACACTTGCCCATCTTGGACCCCGGTGCTCGATGTTCCCCTTTCGATCCTGATATCCTAGGCGCCTTCTATACTGATACGTGCCCCGAGGAAAGTCTCCATCTCCGATGGTGAACACGAATTATTCGAAAGACGGAAGCTTCCGTTTCGATCTTCGGCATCACTTTCTTCTCTCCATCGCGTGTTTATCGAACCGTCACCTGCAACGCCATAATCAAACTGAGGTTTTCTGCGATTTTCAGATTGACGGTGATTCTTTAAGATACTTGTAAATTTAAAATTGTATTCTTTAATTATTAAAATTTGTAGGGTACTTCTGAATTTCTTATAAAATGCTTACATCAAGTCTCTATAAATCCTAACTTTACATTTGGAAATTTCTACATTCCCAAATTCTAACATCCCCTACTACCTATGAATTCTGACCTTACATTCCCAAATTCGTACATCCCAAAATTCACATATCCCCAAATCTTTAGATTTCCAAATCCCCATATCCCCAAGTTTCTACAGCTCCAAATTTCAACATCCTCAAATTTCTGCATCCTCGAAACCCTACTCCCCAGATTTCGGTAACTTCAGATCTTCACATCCCGAAATCCCTACGTTCTGGTATTCCTATGTCCCCAAATTTCAATATTCCAAAATTTCTATATACCCAAATCCCTGTATCCCGAAATTCTTATATCCTCAAATTCTTATAACCCCAAATTCTCACATCCCCAAATCTCGACAAGTAGTAAAACCACTTCGTTCAAATATTAAAATTGCTACGATCTTTAATTATGACCAAAGAATAATAATCAACGAACAAAACGCTTCCCAATTTGCAAAAAATTTGCATGCTCGTTAATTACAGAAATAGAAGCGTTTCATAAGAAAACGTTCGTCTTCTGGCAACGTCCGGAATTTTTGAGCGAGAACAATCGACCAGTTAGAGTTCTCTGTTGCTGTCCCTTGTTACGCTCATTCTAATTTGACGCGTTACTCGGAAACGAAGGCTGCATGCCTGATTTGTCTCGTAGCACTGAAAAGAACACCGTAAAGAAGATGCATGGGGAGTAAAAAGGGAAACCAGAGAGAACGCCCTAAAGTCTTCTTTAAATACAACGTGATCGATGATCCAAACGGAGGGTGTCTCCTAACCGGTGAAAACAGTGTCATAAAATTGTTCAAAACATTAGCCCTCGGTCCAGAAAGTTTACTCATTTATTATGGCTCTTTTGCACCGAGAATAATAAAACAGATCCATTTTTCAACCTCCATCAAACTTTGTACGGAATGTCAAGTTTTTCTTTTGTGGATTTTAAATATCTTTGAATTGTGTTTAGATATCTTTGAATAATATAAGATATTAGATATCTTTGAATTGTGAGTAGGGTTATGAAGAAATAGTTCTTGTTGCTTCTCTCATTATATTCAACTTGAAATTTAGGTCCAATTATAATTTCTTTAGTTAAGGATTTCTTTGTTTATTTTAATAATATGACTATAAATAGTTCATTTTGACGCATCTGGCGAATAAATTGTACAAGGGGTTAACATCGTGGGCCACACGTGACGCCATGATTGTTGAAACGCGACTTTGCCTGATATTATTACCACAATTTGGGGTTCAATTTTAATTCCAACCCTTTCAATGAACCAACCCCACCACACACAAAATATTCTTAATATCTGAAACATATTTTGTCCGTTTTAATATTGCAATAATTAAATCGTTCTGTTTGACGCAATCACAAGTTAAGGACTTAATATTCTTCGCTGAAATTGCTTTTCCAGCGACGATTCCAACTTACACGATGTGCTTATACGATGCGCGAAAACGCGGGCAGTTAGAATAAACAAATTTAGAGCGTGTCTAGAGGCTTCATTTAGTGGTGTACGATGATGCTTCCTGTCGTCCGTGACACACCATTACACTGTGCGTAATTACGAACCGGTGAATTCCAAGTTTCACCGGAGAGGAGCTTGTTATTTCAAAACCGACCCGTGGAAATATTTCCAACTTTTCGCGTTAACCGAGAATTTCTCGCGAAATACGATCTCGTTACCCCTGGAAATAATTGTTTGACATAAAAACAGAGGACCGAACAAATTTCGTTTTCGATTTTGGGATTTGGGGAACTTGGAATTTGAAAATTTGGGAATTTTTAGATCTGGGATTTAGGGATTTTTGGGATGTGGAATTTGGGGATTTTGGGATCTGAAATTTTGGGAATTTTCGGGGTGGGAAATTTGGGGATTTTGGGATGTGGAATTTGGGGATTTTGGGATTTGAAATTTGGGAATTTTGGGATCTGAAATTTGGAAATTTTGGGATTTGAAATTTGGGGGTTTTGGGATTTGAAATTTGGGGATTTTGGGATTTGAAATTTGGGGATTTTGGGATTTGAAATTTGGGGACTTGAGAATGTGGAAATTTGAGGATTTTGAGAACTGAAATTTGGGGATTTGAGAATGTGGAAATTTGAGGATTTTGAGATCTGAAATTTGGGGACTTGAGAATGTGGAAATTTGAGGATTTTGGGATCTGAAATTTGGGGACTTGAGAATGTGGAAATTTCAGGATTTTGGGATCTGAAATTTGGGGATTTGAGAATGTGGAAATTTGAAGAATTTGGGGTCTGAAATTTGGGGACTTGAGAATGTGGAAATTTGAAGATTTTGGGATGTGAAATTTGGGGACTTGAGAATGTGAAAATTTGAGGATTTTGGGATCTGAAATTTGGGGACTTGAGAATTTGCAAATTTTAGAATTTTGGGATCTGAAATTTGGGGGCTTGAGAATTTGCAAATTTGAGTATTTTGGGATCTGAAGTTTGAGAACTTACGAATTTGCAAATTTGAGTATTTTGGGCTCTGAAATTTGGTGACTTGTCAATGTGAAAATTTTACTTACAAATATAGCTAAATATCTACATTCTTAAATCCTAATATTCCTAGACAGCCATATGTATGTACACATAAATACCAATACCCCTAGACACCCATATTCCTAAACTCAAAAGTCACTATATCCCTAGACATCCCCTCCGAAATAATATAAAGTCATTATCCTGTAGACTAGTACCTCCATAATTTAATCAACTGCTATCACCTTAAAACCACCAACAAGTAAATAAAATAACTAATGCTTGATGCCTTAATATTAATTTATTAAGGCATCCAGTAACGAGAAAATTTCTTAATGGCGCCTAAAAGATGTCTACGGGAAGTTGTACACGGAATCGAGCGTATAAATGGAGTTCGAAAACGACGTGAATGAATTTGGGATGAGATATTCGCGAACAGGGACACTTAATATAGACGCGACACTTAATCTTGCCATACGCCCGAGCGTGCAATTTCTCCGGCTGTAATTCAGGATGCGGTTCTCTTCGATATTTCTCGTTAATAACGCGCGAGAGGGACCGTGGCAATTGCTTTCCGCCCTGAATCGAGGAACGAAAGGGGAAAAAAAGTCAAAAGGAAGAAAAATAAAAGGAGGCTCGAGTCAGCCCGCGGTATTTATGTTTTCTCTGGTTCTGCGTGTATCGCCGCCGCGGATTTCACTGAAACGCGAAAGCAGACTCGTGGCCGTGATTTATATGTTTAAATTGCGTTCCGACGATTCAAACGTAACTCGATTTATCAGCGATTCAGATTTTTCACGGGCAATTTTAAATGGCCGGAATTCAATGCCGTGAAATACCCTACCGACAATCGACCATTGACACTCCGGAATGATACTTTTTGTTTCTCTCCCTGCTTCGGACAAATTATCAACTGTAATTGCCGAGTAGAACCTAATTAACTCTAAGTACTGTAAACGTGTTGCCACAACAGATTACTCGATTTGTTTTGTACAACTTTTCTTTTTAACCCCTGTCTGTATAATGGTTCATATATGAGCGAAACGTTGTTAAAAAATACTAAACTGTATTCTTATATCTATAACTGCATGATGTGCCATGCATAGGCCAAACATATTTTTAAAGAAAATTTGTATAATAAAAAGATTTTTTTCAAAACTGCTAGTTTTTATTAACTACTATTGAAAGTAACAAAATATATTTCTTCAGCTCTTTCTAAAAAAGCATGCAGAAAGGGGTTAAATGGAAAATTAACCACGTGAAAATTGTATGCTAAGAGAAAATGGTGATGTAGGGAAAATAGAAATAAATACAGAAAATTTTTATCTAAAAAGATTTGCTCATTTTTATCTAAGAAGATTTGCTTGTCTAAGTTTGCATGTGAGTTCGAATTCAATTATGGAGATCAAAAGATTTTAGAAATTCGAAGATAGGTAAAAGCAGCGCCTGTTAATACTTGAATAAGTACCCGAGAAAGCATCGCCGCCATCATTCACTTCCCCTAAACATCCCCAACCGACATCGTCGTATACCGACCCCCGACAACGACCCCAAACGTTATCGATGCGATGGAAAATGCTTGCCAACGGTGTTTCCCTCGTCCGTGGACAAAGGAACCCGCAAAAACGTCCCTCGAACAACCAGCAAAACTTCATGGGACGAAAATGTTTCCCTAAATCACAAGATGCCACGACGTAACGGCACAAGTTTTTAATTAAACAGCCTGAAGGGTTGTCTACGATATTCCACCGGACAGTTGCTTGATTCGGATATATGCTTAAACTCACCCTATGGAGGCACACCTATGTGCCACCCCATGTAGCTTCGTATGTGACGTTTTTGGAGGGTAAGGGGTGATATTCTTTTTTTGTTGGTAGAGTTGGGAGTTTGAGGGTTTGTAAATTTTGGGGTTTTATTTGGGGTGGGAAAATTTGGGGATTTAGGAATTTGGGATATGGGAATTGGGGGATTTAGGGGTTTGATCATTTGGAAGTTGGGGATTTAGGGTTTTGATAATTTGGAAATTGGGGGATTTAGGAATTTGATAATTTGGAAATTGGGTGATTTAGGAATTTGATAATTTGGGAATTGGGGGCTTGAGAATTTGGGGCGTGAAAATTTAAGGGTTTGAGAATTTGGAGATTTAGAAATTTGATAATTTGGAAATTGGGGGCTTGAGAACTTGAGGCGTGAAAATTTAAGGGTTTGAGAATTTGGAGATTTAGGAATTGGATAATTTAGAAATTGAGGGCTTGAGAATTTGGGACGTGAAAATTTAAGGGTTTGGGAATTTGCTACTTGAGAATTTGGGGATTTAGGAATTTGATAATTTGGAAATTGGGAGC